GAGGTCTGCCACACCATGTGGGTCACCTCCCTGGCCGGGGGTTGAACTCGTACTGCAGTGGCTGCAGTAGCTTCATACTGCTGTGCTTTAACCCCATTGTGCCACCAGTGAGGGCCCCATTTAATACTGATTTTAATGATTAAGGTGAAAAGTGCAAAATGGAAGAACTAGGTTCATGTTGAAAAGTTCAGAATGGAAGCACTAGATCCATCTCTTGACTTTATTCTAAAATAGTTTTTTAGAATTTATTTATACATACAGAACTGGGGTACAGGCTAGAGGTGCAGGGGTGGTGAGAAGTTTCACCAGAGACAGAGTGGGAAGCAGAGGGCTGACTGATGAAGTACACTGCTGAGGTGAACAGTGGGCGGGTCAGGAGAGGTCTGCCACGCCATCTGGATCACCTCCAGGGCAAGCAAGGATCGAACTCATACTGAAGTGGCGTTAGCTTCTTAGTGCTGTGCTTTAACCCAACAGGGAGGGCCCCATTAACTGAGTTTTAATATGTCCACACACTTTTGTTTCACTTAAGAAAATTTTGAAAATACACACAGTCTAGTAGTGAAAAAGAATGAAGTGTTGGTAATCTCACCATATAGAAACAACCATGATAAGCATTGGTTATGATTTTTAGGGCATTTTAAATTGAAAAAGATCTATAGTTGTGAATTGAAAAAGATCTTCACCATAATCTTTTTGTCTATTTAAAATGAGTATGTAATATGTCTGTGTGTGTATAAACATCATTTTCAATTGCTTCATGATATGCCACTATTCCTATGTGTCACTGTTTATTTGATGTATCTGTTAATTTTGGTGACTTATTTGTAAGATCATTTCAGATGCAAGGAACACAAAACTCAAAGTGTCACAGATCAAAACAGAAATTGTGGGCTCTGTAATTAAAAGCTCAGACAGACTGTCTTCTGGGTGGCAGTTCCCAAGTGGTAATCTTTCAACTCCAAGTTCAGCAGGTGGGAAAGCACAGGAAGGCTTTAAATGTGCAAGTTCTAGAGTTCATTCATGAATTCCATGAGCTTATAGCAAATAATGAACAGCCTATAGTGACATTAAATTTCCTCGGGAACAACGCCAAGTAATAACCTACCCATTTTCCTAACAAGACATTTAAGCCTCCTCATTTCTCATTTGACAAACAATCCTAGGATACAGTAAGTGTTGTATCAGAAATCTACCGAGGATCTAGAATCTAGAATGCAGATTCAAATTCAGTGGAACTCTGCCCTGAATTTCAAATAATGTCACCTTTATAATAACTTCATATTTACAAAAATCTATCTGCTTTTGGGTTCTCTATTCTATCCCATCGATGAAATTTAATCTTTAAATATTTGTACATGCTGCCTCACTATGAGCAGAGGTTAACACTTTGACTACATGAATTAAATCGATGCAACAGCTTTCTTGAGTTACTTTGTGACATTCTTTTTGTTCGTTTTTAGTTCAAGCAAATTTGCTGCTGTTGGATTTCATCGAGCTTTGACTGCAGAACTGAGCGCCTATGAAAAAACTGGAGTCAAAACATCATGTCTCTGTCCTAATTTCATAAACACAGGCTTCATCAAAAATCCAAGTACCAAGTAAGCTGAGACAGAAATAGAGACAAAGGATTGGTGACTGCTGAATATCAACCATTCCGTGGGTTTTCCGAATAGCTTAATCCTTAAAACACATGGTATTCGATGCCCGTAGTGAATCTCAATTTCAGTTTCTGCAGATTGTGGGAAAGCAGGTGGACAGACAAAGAGAGCAGGACCATTTATGTAACTATAAATATAAATAGCAGGTGAACTTGCTAATCCTCCCATTTTCTTTTCCTAAGCAGTTGTTCTCTGACAAGTACAGGATTCCACAAGGACTTTTTAGGAACTATGTTGGGGACCCGCCACAGATGTTGATGGGTCCCCAACATGAATAGCAGGATTTAGTCAGGGTAGTGTGGTGGTGGGGAAAAGGTCGTAGAACTCTTTTTTTTTTTTTTTAAAGATTTATTTATTTATTTATTCACACAAGAACTGGGGTACAAGCCAGAGATGCAGTGGGTGACAGGATTCACCAGAGACAGAGTGGGGAGCAGAACAGGCAGATTGACGGGGAACAGCAGATGAGACAGGAAAAGTCTGCTGCACCATGTGGGTCATTTCACCGGCCAGGAATTGAGCTCTTGTTGCTATGGCTTCAGGTAGCTTCATAGAGCTGCACTTTAACTCGTTGTGCTATCAGGGAGGGCCCAGCATCTAGAAATCCTTAAGAGACATCATAGTTAATTTGGCAATGCCAGAGCCACAATGTGAAGACTGTGGCACAATTTCCTCTTGGTGATCTAGAGATTTTCCTCCAAAATAAACATCAGACCAGACCATGGTCTTTCCTTCATTACAAAGTTAAATGTTAAAGGATTGTTAACTTTTAATATTTCATCTCTTGGGATTATCTTTACTGTATACATGATGCATAATTTTAAAAA